ACACAGCAACGACAGAATCCTCTTGACGAAGAGTCTGAAGGGCCTGCATTTCCCTTTCAACTGCTCTGTGAATGCTCACGCTTTCGAGTTGTAGACTTTTCAGAGCTGCCTCTTCTTCCATGAGCTGAGCCTTTATTCTAGCGATGGTAGAGACGGAGGCATCAATCTTTGCCTGCAGCAGATGTTGCTAGGTGAGCAGATCCGTGATGAGAGCCCCCTTTCGCGATAGGTCCCTCTCCTGATCTCCTACTCGCGTGTCCTTCTGATACGAGCCTGAGCCATGACCGTCCATGTCTGTTCGAATCAGCCTACAGCAGGACTTCCAGCATGTCAAACACGACTAAAATTGAGAAGACTGACGGGACGTAGCACGAAGGCCGTCTCGAGCCTTGCCAATACACACTGAGAGCGGTGACGCTTCATTAGAAATGGCTTAAAGTCTGCATAGGTTCCCCAGCTGAGGCTAGTGATAGAGACCACCTGCTTCATCGCATTCTGCAGTTGCCTGAGGACGCCCTGTGTAGATCTGGAACTCGGAGAGGCAGATTCCTGACCAACTGAAACCATGGCAATAGATTGGATCAGAGGGATGGCCCCTTCGTCAGGAAGAGGAGACTGAGAAGACTGCTGATGGGAAGCATAGGTACGTTCCTCCTCCTCCTCGTCCGAAAGAATGATGGGTTCAGGCCGGACAGCCCTTCTTCCCCTTTGAAGCATATGTTCTCACTCCCGAAGCCATCTCGAGTCTAGGAAGTCTGAGTTTTCTCTAAGAAGGTTTGAATGAGAGGAATTGTGAGTGTAGTGATCCCCCTACAAAGGAGATGAATTGAAACTATATACACAGGATCTCAACCGTCAAGATTCGCTGACCGATTGAAGCAGACGGTTTCGATTCGGCGGTTCCAATTGAGCGGGCATAAACAAAGCAAAATGTTTGGAATACCGCACGGAACAGCCAAGATCGGGCGACTCACACGCGACCTTTTGTCGGATTAACGGTTGAGATCAAAAACGTCATCGGATCCGCCCTCTTGAGGCGAGCGCGCGAAGACAAGGCATCGTCTTAATTAACAAGCATGGGAACTTCCTCCATGGACATGAGGCTCGCTCTCATGGGCCCAAATTTCAAAGGGGGAGGGGCCCCAACTCGAACGGCACCAAACTCGCCTGGGTGCACTCGCACCACTCGAGTTCACCCAAAGGTCTCGACATAGCCAAGGCAGTCAAATTCACTTTAACTCATCAGGAACCTCTTTATTCAAAGTGTTCCAGACCACACGCAAGTTGGTTTAGCTCTAAAAACTTTGAAGGGGGTCTTGTAGGCGATAAAAATTACCTTTGCAGATAAGCCTAAAATCTGCCTGCGTATTCGAGTCGCCCGCACGACTTGAAAATTAGGCCCATCCGTGTACTTGACTCGCCAGCACGAGCCAATACCACACGATCACTAAATTCGCCTACATTTGGGCAATCCGCTAAGCGATCAGAAACTCGCCAGCAAACTGGACCCGCCCACGCGAGTTAAGTTTACTCGAGAGCTAAACACACCTACATGCCCAGACGATCAGCCAGGCGATCAACATCCTAACCACAGACTCGCCAGAGTACCTGGTGGCTGTTACATCACGTATAGGGATGGGCCTTCCTATTTTCCACGATGTGAAGGGAAGGAACACAATACTCCAAACCCATCAAGTAGCCGCTCCCAGTACAAGATGACCAGTCAAATTCATGCAATCGCCAAACTTGCCTGTATGCCTGACTCGCCCGCACAAGTCAAGATCATCCAAGTGACTGAAATTCACCAAACTCGCCTGCACGAGTCAAGAGCTGAATTCGCCCGCGATAGACGAACTCGCCAGAGTACCTGGTGGCCGCTATATCACGTACAGGGATGGGCCTTCCCATCTCCCACGATGTGAAGGGGTGGAGCATAGTACTCCGAGCCTATCAAGTAGCCGCTCATGGTACAAGTGAGAAGTATGGTATCTCCCAACAGTACATGATCACATCTCATGATTCAAGGGAGCGACCACGCCATCTTTCCTCTATTTAAGAGCCTCTCCTGACTACAGGAAAGAGGTTCGCAGTTAATTGATTAATTCAATTAGTTAGCTAGACCATTAGCTCTCAACTCTCGTCTGAGTTGATGACAGGCTCTTTGCATGATCTTTGCACTGTAGCATCTTCTCCTAGCTTCAGGCCTGACCGCCACCGAACTCAAAAACTAAACTCGACCAGTACGAGCTTCTACTACGTACTGAAGCTCACCAGTAACCTAGATCGAATCGTCCAAGGAAAGCAGACTCGGTGCGAGAACCGAGTGAGACGTCCTATCGCTACCAAAGTTCCTACGTTAAACAAGGAGGGCCTACCTTCCGTTTCTGTTGTAATTTTGATTCATTAGTTTGTAATAAGTTATTCTTATCAATACAAACAAAACCCCTGTTTCAGGAAATCAAAATTTACACCATACATAGGCGAGCTTAACTCGTGCAGGCGAGTCAAGCAATCAGGCGAGCTCGACTCGTGCGGGCGAGTCAAGAAATCAGGCAAGCTTGACTCGTGCTGACAAGTCAAACAAGCAGGCGAGCTTAACTCGTGCGAGTGAGTCAAGCCATGTTGGCGAACTTTGGCTTATGCAGGCGAGTCAAGCTTACAGGCGAGCTCTGCTTGGCCTCTTGAATGCATGCGAGCTTGACTTGCACTGGCAATCTAAGAAAACAGGCAAGCTTTGCTTGGCCTCCTGAATGCAGGCGAGCTTGATTTGCGCAGGACACGCAGGTGAACTCAAACAGGTGAGATTTGAGTTCTCTTGTGTAAAGGTAATTTTTATTGCCTACATACATACTCTTTGAGATAACTTTCTTAGCCTACCCCCTTTCTTAGGTGGAGCTTTAGGTTGGGTTGGATTTTTGCAAGTCTTATTGTTATGCCCCTTTTGTCCATAATTCCTACGCTTACTCTGCAATGTTATCCTTTTCACCCTTTGGTTAGCTGTAGCTTGCTCTGCAATCTCTGTCCTTCTTCTTTACTTTAGCCTTCCTTGCATGATTCTTGCTTGAGGAGGATCCGGTTCAGGATATTCTGTCTTGGGTCATTGCTTCATGCCAAGGAGAGGTGACATATTCATGCCATAACCTAGAATATAAATTTCCTTTGTATATGTCTCATGCAAAAAAATCTTCAATAAGCATTCATATTTTAACCAATGTTGCAACTCTATGTATACAAGGAAAGCCACTGAGTTGCTATTTGTTATATCCACATGTTTTTGTCCCCAGATCCACTATATGCATGTATCATCTTCTTTATATTTCACTTCAAATTTGTCATTTTCTCAGTTAGTCTTATAGAATTTTATCTCATGTTGAGAATTTCAGTTTTTTTAACACCTTTGGAAACTAAAAGCCCCTCTATCTTAGCAATGCTCTCTTATTTGAGAAGGAACCTCTTCATAAGCATCCTCCTAATAAACTTCATACATGTGAGAATAAGCTCGTCCCTTGCTTATAAAATCATTTTGTTGAATGATTCACACATATTATTCAACAAGCAATCTGACTTGGTGCTTTCCTTGAATGCATGCAAGCTCCAATGTGAAGGATCTTTAGCCATGAGATAGTTGTAAGAACTTTCATCCATGTACTTGATAATTTTTATTGCCTCATCAAAATTAATTTTTATAGAAGTTTTACAAGCTGTCCACATTGCATCTTTGAAAGACCTCCCTTATTTAATGTTGGCATAAATATGCTTAAAATAAAATCTAATCTCAGCAATAGGTGCAACTATCCTCAAAGTTAAGTTTCAATTAAGCCCTACACAAAAAGTTGAAAAACTTAGCATAAGGTTGGAAATTTTAGCATAAGGTTGAAAAATATACAAAAAGGCACACATACAGTTATAAATACATTTTATACATTTTATACATTTTATACATTTTATACATTTTCCGTAAGCAACACCTTAACTTCTCATAATTTATGCAGATAACATGTTAATTTGTAATTTATTTCATATGTAACAACTAACTTCTCATAGTTTAAATAAATACCACCTTATTTGTAATATATTACATATATGTAATCAATTTATCAGAGTTTGAGTCAATTATATAAACTAAGAAGATATAAGCTAATCCTAATTTATTAGTATTTCAGTCTAATCATAGATACTCCTAATTTATCAGTATTTTAGTCTAACCATAGATATTGGATGTTGTATTAAAACATGCAATAGATACATATTATTGTAAACAAATATATAAAAGAAATGAAACACACATAAATAAATAGTAAAATATTAGAAAGATTGCCTTCTGTCTTTTTGACATGAAGGTCTATCCATTTTGCTCCACTAGCCCTAAATCAATAATTAGTTGCTCAATAAACTAACACCAAGTCTCTTTATTCTCAACTTCAAATGTTGCATATGGAATATGATAGATGTTGCAATTATCATCCTTTCCTATAGCACTCAAGATTTACCTCATATAACTACCTTTTAAATGGTAGCCATAACCTTTCTTGAGCCTTTCTTTGCATGCAGCCAAACATACATATAATCTCCAGAAAATTAGTGATGGGTTCCTATTGATATCATCCACTCTAACCAGAGCTGAGCTATCTGGATTTGTTCTGGATATTTTAGTTGTATAGTCTCATACTCTTTTATATTGATAACTTACAATACCATAGATCTTCATAAAAGCAAGTTGTCTTGCTCTATATGCTATAGGACCACGTTAATCTCATAGTCCCCATTCATCTCTAAAATGAACATTGACTTCTTCCAATCAGGATCATCTTTTTTACTTTGTTAGATATTTTGTAGTTAACCACTTAGAGGAGACCTTGGAGGTTTTATCTCTAAAGCCACCAAAATTACCATGTTTGAGCCTCATAGATTTAATTTGAAAGATAACTTCATTATTTATTTTCACAACATGAACTTTGAATTTACAAACGTCTTGACAATTATTGTAACATTTCAGCCTCCTACCATCTTGAATAGGCCTTTACACTTACATTTATATTTGCAATAACTTGTGACGTACTACTTGATTCTTCATCCACTTGAGATAGATCATTTAACCTCTCATTCACATTATCATTATTCGATGGTTGTGTTGTAGCCTCTACTTTTTCATCTAGGTCAACATCCTCCTTATCAAGATGATCATAGTCACTATTATTAAGCTCAAACTCAGAACTCTCATCCTCATTCTCCATATGTACATTCATATGTCTCTTACTGTTATTAACTTTAGCTTCCTCATTGGCCTCATTTTCATCACCTTGCCCTTCATCAGTTGCCTTATTATCATGTTCACCTTCATCACTTGCCCCTTTGCCTCCATCCACGTCCTTCACATAAAAATAAAAGTTTCAATGATTAATCTCAAGGAGTGAACATATTACCTAAATATCAATTTACTAGTAGTTTATACAAATAATACCTTAATTCATTATCTTTTTCATATTTACTACCTTTAGTTTAGAAAATCATTACCACCTAAATTTTTTAAAATATTAAATTGATTTCTTGGCGACCACCTCACCTAAGTTAATCAACTTCAAAAAAAAATTAACTTTTAAGTATATGAAGGTAATTAAGTTTTTAAAAAAATAAATAAATATAGAGAGCATACCTCATTCTCATCATATTGTCCTCCATCAATTGCCTCATTGTCTTCATTCGTACTCTTCACATAAAAATACAACAAGACAGTATATAAGGGTTAATCAACTTCAAAAAAAATTATCTTTTAAATATATGAAACTAATTAAGTTTCAAAAGATACATGTAGAGGAGAGTAAACTAATTAAGTTTCAAAAGATACATGTAGAGGAGAGTATACCTCATTCTCATCATATTATCCTCCATCAACCGTCTCATTGTCTTCATTCGTACCCTTCACATAAAAATACAACGAGGTTCAATATATAGGAGAGGAAGTCTCAGTATATAGAACAGTACTTAAGGACCAAAAGTTATAAATATAGAAAAGTATACATCATTTTCATCATGTTGAGATTCATTATTGCCTTGATTAGTATCATTATACTTGCATTGCTTCGCTCTACCTCATTTGGATTCTGAGATGACTTTGTTATGAGCCAATAAGATCAAATGTAGTAACATTATCCTCATGCGGTAGTTCATACAAGCTCCCTCTCTAAGATCAATACCAACCTCACCAACATATTCTTCAACACCATGCACAATGTACACAACAATCCTCTTACTTTTTCCAAGAGAAGCAACCATTTCGTTGCTATTTCTATTAGTAGTAATTTTCCTAATTCCTTGTGCTAAAAGTTTTCTACGAATCTTATAATAGAGTGCTGCCACACTACTCATACTATAGATCAATTATTCTTTGATGACAGCTTTTAGCTCCCACTCTAATATTTCATCAACAATGTGATCATGTTTGGCAAATACTTTATCACCTACATACTTCAATAATCCTCTATTCCTTTCAAACCTTCCCCCATGATGATAGTCTATTGAATAAATCCATACATCTTGAAATTAAAAGAGAAAATACATATTTACACACACACACACACACACACACACACACACACACACACACACACACACACATATATACACACACACACACACACACACACACACACACACACACACACACACACACACACACACACACACACACACACACACACACACACACACACACACACACACACACACACACACACACACACACACACACACACACACACACACACACACACACACACACACACACACACACACACACACACACACACACACACACACACACACACACACACACACACACACACACACACACACACACACACACACACACACACACACACACACACACACACACACACACACACACACACACACACACACACACACACACACACACACACACACACACACACACACACACACACACACACACACACACACACACACACACACACACACACACACACACACACACACACACACACACACACACACACACACACACACACACACACACACACACACACACACACACACACACACACACACACACACACACACACACACACACACACACACACACACACACACACACACACACACACACACACACACACACACACACACACACACACACACACACACACACACACACACACACACACACACACACACACACACACACACACACACACACACACACACACACACACACACACACACACACACACACACACACACACACACACACACACACACACACACACACACACACACACACACACACACACACACACACACACACACACACACACACACACACACACACACACACACACACACACACACACACACACACACACACACACACACACACACACACACACACACACACACACACACACACACACACACACACACACACACACACACACACACACACACACACACACACACACACACACACACACACACACACACACACACACACACACACACACACACACACACACACACACACACACACACACACACACACACACACACACACACACACACACACACACACACACACACACACACACACACACACACACACACACACACACACACACACACACACACACACACACACACACACACACACACACACACACACACACACACACACACACACACACACACACACACACACACACACACACACACACACACACACACACACACACACACACACACACACACACACACACACACACACACACACACACACACACACACACACACACACACACACACACACACACACACACACACACACACACACACACACACACACACACACACACACACACACACACACACACACACACACACACACACACACACACACACACACACACACACACACACACACACACACACACACACACACACACACACACACACACACACACACACACACACACACACACACACACACACACACACACACACACACACACACACACACACACACACACACACACACACACACACACACACACACACACACACACACACACACACACACACACACACACACACACACACACACACACACACACACACACACACACACACACACACACACACACACACACACACACACACACACACACACACACACACACACACACACACACACACACACACACACACACACACACACACACACACACACACACACACACACACACACACACACACACACACACACACACACACACACACACACACACACACACACACACACACACACACACACACACACACACACACACACACACACACACACACACACACACACACACACACACACACACACACACACACACACACACACACACACACACATAACATAGGGTTTTATATGTGAAATGTACTGGAAACAATAAGGTATTTAAGTGTAGTCAATGTAACATAGGGTTTTATATGTGAAATGTACTGGAAACAATAAGGTATTTAAGTGTTATTTAACCCAATTATTCTATTTAAGAGCTATTTTGCCCAAAGTAAACAATTATTACAATTTTAACAACTAATTAAGCATCACAATATTTTAGTTATGAAATGTACAAAAATAAAAATTTATCTTAGATTAATCAATGTATCAACTAAAATTAAAGCTTAAATAGCACTTCAACAACCTATACTTTATCATACTTTGCACTTAAATACCCCTATTTAGTCAATGTGACTGCTATTTAGCCCAAATTACACAGCTATTACAAATATCGCAAGTAATTAAGCACCACGATGTCCAAATTGAGTTAATCATAACAATCAATTTCTTTTACATGTTGCACTTCAACACAATGTCCAATTTACTCACAATTAGTCAACGTATCAACAGAAATAAAACACGTATTCTAAAGTTAACAAGTAATTAAGAAGCTACATTGTCAAATTTACCCCATTTCTTGTTTATTTGTCAAAGCCCTAATCTAAACCTAATCCTAACAGTGTATGGCTACAATTCACTTTACTATTTCAATATACCAAAAATTGAAGTTAAGTTCACACCCCAAACAACCCACTTGCAATTAGAAAAGTTAAAATAAACATGACTTTCACTTGAAGAGTTAAACCCATAAGAATAGTCAGTCCCCATAAAAATCTGTTCTTTTACAGCATGATGTCGGAGACCTACCTCCGTACAAGCACTGGGCTTCGATTCCATAGCTAAATCGATAGAGATTATTTTTTTTACTTAAAAAGATGACGGGGTTTTGGGGGATGAGAGGGGAGAGAGAACCGCACTTAGACATTATCGGTTATTTTTAAAAAATTACTAAGAGGCTGTTTGGTTGTTGTTAGTAAAGTTATGTATTTATGATACAACTTGGAAAGTTGTTGTCCACCTCATTAATTTCACTGAGCAACTTTTTTTTGTTTGTTTTTTATTTCATTGGAATCATAAATTGCTTGTTTGGTTTGCAAAATGTAACTTTAATTGCTTGTTTGGAAAGTGTAAAAAGTGGTTATTGTGTGGTCCCTACTCAAATGATTCCATTGGCCTAGCCCCCTCACTTCTGACACATATGTCAGCTTTCCTTCAAAATCAGACCATTTTGAAGGTATTTGTGAATCCATGCCACATCAGCATAGTAAACCACTTTACACTTTTTTCACAACTACAAACAAACAATTAAAAAGGAGGAAAGCTGACATTGGGACCCACTTTTTTATATTTTCCATCCTTTTACATAGTAAAAACTTACAACCAAACAGCCTCTAAGAGTGTGAGATTGGGGGGACCATGATTAACCGGGGTTAACTAGGATTGTTAAGGGAGATCATGTGAGGGCCCATGTGAGAGGGTTAGAGGGTATAATGGTCAGCGCACGTATTTTTTGGATTGAAATCAAAAAAGTGTGATATAGCAAGCATGTTAACAAGTAAATGTGGTATTCATAAATAAAAGAAAAAACTTTAAAGGTGGCAAGTAGCCATCTAGGTAAAAGTAAATATAGTTTTAATGTAAAAACACTATATTATAATATACAATGTAATAAATGTTTAATTAATAAGCATTATGATAGACTTCAAAAAGTTTTAGAAAAAAAGAAGGAGAAAAGAAAAGAAAATTTGTGTGAAATGAGCGAAGCGTCCTTATATCTCTAGTGAGATCAAGTATAGTTTTCTCATTTTCTCCATACTTTTTCTACCCTCACCAAGTTTTAAACAAAATAGTATAGATAGATAGAAATATTAAATATGTAAGGGACTGACGTGTAAAAACACTGTAAGTCGGCAACATAGGGGCTGTTTGGTTGTATGTTTTTACCATGTAAAAGGATGGAAAGTGTAAAAAAGTGTGTCCCAATGTCAGCTTTCATCACTTTCAATTGTTTGTTTGTAGTTGTGAAAATAGTGTAAACTGATTTCATATGCTGATGTGGCTTGTAAAGTGATTTTATAAAAAAAAGATATGATTTTAGGAGAAAGCTGACATTGAAATCAGGAAAAAATAATAAAAAATAATTCCAACCAATATGATCATTTGTGTAGGGACCACTATTTATACTTTCCAAACAAACAATTAAAGTTACATTTGCAAACCAAACAAGTAATTTATGATTCCAATGGAATAAAAAACAAACAAAGAAAAGTATAAAAGTGAAATTGATAAGATGGACAACAACTTTCCAAGTTGTGTCATAAATACACAACTTTACCAACAACCAAACAGCCCCATACCATTATAAAATTTAGCTAAAGGATTATTTATGTTTGTCCCTCAAATCTTTGATAATTTTATATTAATCCCTCAAATCTCAATAATTGATCGTTAGTCCCTCAAATCTTAAGGTTATATCAATTGGTCCCTTTATATTTTTTATAGGTCATTTGCAATTTAGCAATCTAAAGTTTACACATTTTAAACTTTTATAGCCTTAATTTTATTTTTTTTGACACTTTGATATCTCATAAGTTTACGTTTTAAACTGTGATACCCCCAAGCTTTTTTTTAACACTTTAATTACAAAGTTTGCTCATTTTTTGAACTTTCATACCTCAAAGATTCCATATTTTTAACTTTGATACCTCAAAGTTTTTACATTTTTTAACTTTGATACCCTAAAGTTTGGAGTGTTAAAGTGTCAAAACAAAACTTTGAGTTATCAAATTGAAAAATATATAAACTTTGTTGCAACAAAAGTGTTAGAAAAATTCTAAGGCATCAAAATTAA